GCTCAGCCCAATAACAACAACAACAATAGCCAGGGCTCAGCCCAATAACAACAACAACAGCCAGGGCTCAGCCCAATAACAACAACAACAACAACAACAACAGCCAGGGCTCAGCCCAATAACAACAACAACAGCCATGGCTCAGCACAACAACAACAACAGCAGCCAGGTCTCAGTCCTTGAATATATACACTCACCGGAAAGCAGAGTGTGCCTCTGAACATGCGTAGAGTACCACTGTGTCTTCCTCTCTATGCAGATTCTACACATCTCTAGACAGGACTTTCTTGCTGATGGAACTTCTTCCTCTCCCGAAGCAATTAATTATCAGTGTGGGTGTTGTGTCAGTCATGGTAAATTGAATTACCTCTGAGCCAATACAAGTTGAGTAAGTAAGTATCCCTTATCCAGAAATCCAAAGTCCTCCCAAATCCAAAATGGATGAGATAGTAATGCATTTGTTTGCCTGTGGTTCGCAAACAAAAACTTTGTTTCATGTACAGAACTATTTTAAATATTGTGAATGAAATTAACATCAGATTATGCTAATTAGGTGTATATGAAATGTTATTGAATTTCATGTTTAGACTTATGCCCTACCTCCAAGATTTTTTATGATGTATAGGCAGATATTGTAGAATCCAAAAGACTTCTGGTCCCAATCATTTCGGATAAGCATTCCTGTGCTATGCTAATAATATAATATAATATATTGTATATACATATAATATTTATAGTATTATAATGTAATGCAATATAATAATAAAACAATATTATAATTGTATATTTTATATTACATGTAATATTACTAAATAATTCCCCCAGGCAGTAAGAAGCCAGACCTTGAAACTGCTAGGCCATTAAAAGCTAATCAAGGTGGTCAGTTAAAACATTCACGCCTACCTCAAACAGACAAGAGTTCTTTCTCCCATCCCTGGACATTCCACAGATATATAAACCTCATTTGTCCTAGTTTCCAACAGACCTCACAAGCTCTCAGGATGCCTGCCATAGATGCAGGTGAAACGTCAGGAGAGAATGCTTCTGGAACACGGCATACAGCCCGGAAAACTCACAACAACCCAGTGATTCTGGCCATGAAAGCAATCAACATTACTAAGTGCCTTTCCACATTTCCATATAATTCAGAATATCAAGGCAGAAAATCCCACAATATCTACTTTGAACTGGGTTATCTGAGTCCACACTGCCATATATTCCAGTTCAAAGCAGATAATGTGGGATTTTATTCAGCTGTCTGGAAGGGGCCTAAGAGAATGGCAATACACAAACATAGAAGAGTTTTAGGTTGGTATTATATTCAGTGCTACATTCTGGTAATGCTAGAAACGTAGGGATTGAAGAAATATTTCTGGGGGCGGGCAGAATGTTTATTTATGGGAACAGAGTCTTCATTTTGTCCCCACTGCAGCTGTTCCTCTACTGCATGTGTGCATGCATGTTCACAACATGGCCACATAGCCCGGAAAACTCACAGCAACCCACCTATTACAATCCTGTTAATCTTTTATAGACAGTTGTTTTCATTCTATTTTGCTATCTTAGTGTTTGACTCAATCTTCAAAACCCGCAAGCATTTTTACATTTTCTTTTTTCTTTATAAATGGTATAAATGGTCCCCATTCTTTTAGAAAGTTATCAGTTTACTTCTTTATGAAACAAAGTGACATGCATGTTTTTTGACATTGTTGTCATCTCTGCCATTTTTATCAGGGACTTGAGCATGCATTGGGGGGGGGGGGTGTAAGGTATCTGTGAAGGATACATGAGCCATCCTCCTGTGGATACTGAGAGTCCACTGTAATAAAAGCCTTTACTTCTGCTTTTCTTACCCTCTACCCATCTTATATTTCAGAATCATACAATAGAATTCTTCGCAAGATCTCCCCTTTTTTGATGCACACTATCCTTCAGAAGGGTTTGGCCATAGGACACAAGTTGGCATGGCTGAAGCTGTCCATTACATCCACCTCCAGAACTTCAGCAAATCCCTCCTGGAGACCCTGAACGGGCAGCGGCTGGGGGGCCATTTCTGTGATGTGACGGTGCATATCCAAGAGGCCACTCTCCGTGCCCACCGATGCGTGCTGGCCGCCGGCAGCCCTTTCTTCCACGATAAACTACTCCTGGGCTACTCGGAGATCGAGGTGCCGCCGGTGGTGCCTAGCCAGGTGGTACGCCAGCTTGTGGAATTCATGTACAGCGGTTCACTGGTGGTCGCCCAATCCGAGGCTCTACAGATCCTCACGGCGGCCTCCATCCTCCAGATCAAGACCGTCATCGACGAATGCACCCAGATCATCTCCCAGAGCCGCAGCCCCAAGCCCCCCACGGCCCCTCCGCCCGTTTCCCTCTCTATCCCTAGGACTCTCCCTGCCAAGCCTCAAGAGCAGCTGACCTCCAAAGAGGCCATTGCCAGTGTCTCACGACCTAGTGACATCGAGGCTGCCCACCTCGAAGCTCCCAAGTTGCTTTGTGCCTCGGAGGTGCGTTATAAGTTGCGGGACCTGCTCTCTTCTCAACACAGGGAGGCAAGGGGAGCCGCTTGCGAAGGGGGCATCAGTGATGGGGAAGCTGGAGGGGCTTATTTGCACCCAGCAGAGGCAACACCCAGCTGCCATAGCCGCAAGCAGCGCCAGCCGGTGAGGCTCCAGTTGTCTGAGGCCATACCCGTCATCATCAAGGACGAAGAGGAAGCGGGCAGGGAAGGCAGGGAAGGTGTGGTGGCATCTACTGCCACTTCAGAACCAGAGGGCAAATTGAGCTGCTTTGCCGAGTGTAGTGGGAGCACTAACTTCCCTGCTGGGTTTCCTGATGAGACAGATTCAAAGAATGCCGGGAACACCAGTGGAGCTAACCGGAAGGAGAGCATCCACATGGATTATGCCACTGCAGAGGGCCAGGATTTCTTTGGGAACCAGGATGTTTTTTCAGAGTCCTTCATCCCATCCTGGCAGGGAGAAGAAAGCAACGAAGAGGCCACGGCTTCTGTCACCCGAGACAGGGAGAAGTTCCACTCGGATTGCGGTTTGGAGATCTCCAACTTGAGAAGCTTGGCAGGGGAGTTCAAGCCAGATTTGGGCGGACCCTCCTCGGCATTCCCACCACGCAGTACTAACAGTGGTGGGGGGTTGGCATTTGTCTCCTCGCTGGGTATCCAGAGGGAGCTTAAACCCGAAGTCAGCAGTGCCAACGCAGCCACCAGCACCACCAGCATCTTCCAGTTTCATCTGCCCCAGCCTACTGGGGTGGCTCAGAGCTTCTACAGTATCCAGCAGCAACCACAGCAGCAGGATGCAAGTGGCAGTAACATGGTGCAGCTTGGCCCCAGCAATATGGGCTCAGGTGCCATGCACGGTGGAGAGCAGCAGAATCAACAGCCAGGTCCCTCGCGGTGCTCTGAACCTTCTTACCAATGCAGCCATTGCCAGAAAACCTTCAGCTCCCGCAAAAACTACACCAAACATATGTTCATCCATTCCGGTAATGCACGTACAGAGGGTTGGAATGTCTGGGTTTGGGTGAGGAAGAGCCAAGCAAGGCCTTCTGTGGGCAAAACATCAGTAATAGACATATCATGAACTTGTTCACAGTTTGAACCCCTTACAAGACTTGAGGAGAGTGGCTTCCAGTGATGGGTAGACTACAACACCCATTAAATCCTCCATTGTAGCAAATTGTGTGGAGTGATGGGAGTTGTAGTCCAAACACATCGGGGGGACTACTTTTGGGAATTTTAAAAAGATGGATAAATGGCGATAAGATGTAGGAAAGGCACAAGAAAAGTGTAAAGTTGAGGTCATGCCTGATTGGATAAAAAACTGCCTTGTAGTGTATCAGATGATTTAGTGATTGAATCTGGTACTGCCTACATGCATTACAAATCACTTGCTTTAAAAAATGGTAAGGCAAGAATCAATAACACATGACCTTCCAGATATTGTTGAATTACAAATTTGATCAGCCCATTCTAGCATAGTCAGTGGTGATAGAGTTAGGGACTAATAACACCTGAAAGGCCACAGTTGCTCACTCCTGCCCTGTGTTAGTTGCTGAGTGGGCAAGAGAAAGCCTTTTGCTGCTAAGAACTGTGCAATCTGTTTTCCCCATATCATGCAGTATTTTAATTCTTTACAGAGGACAAAGAGGAATTTAGTTGCAAAAGGGAATTTGTTTGTCAGAGATCTTGATAACAGGCATCTACATGCAGTTGCTCTTCTGTAGCCATGGATTCTGCATTGATGGACTCAACTATCCATGGCTTGAAATTTTAAAAATAATTTTCAAAGAAGCAATCCTTGATTTTGCCACTTTATATAAGGCTGCAGCAGTGCAGCAGGTTAAACTACTAAGCTGCAGAACTTGCTGATTGGAAGGTCGATGGTTCAAATCCACAGATGGGGTGAGCTCCTGTTGTTAACCCTAGCTTCTGCCAACCTAGCAGTTTGAAAACATGAAAATGTGAATAGATCAATAGGTACCACTTTGGCAGGAAGGTAATGGTGCTCCATGCAGTCATGCCAGCCACATGACCTAGGAGGTGTCAATGGACAACACCGGCTCTTTGGCTTAGAAATGGAGATGAGCACCATCCCTCAGAGTCAGACTCAACTAAACTTAATGTCAGGGGGGAACCTTTACTTTTTATATAAGGGATACCATTTTACTGTATATGATGGGACTTGAGCATCTTTGGATTTTGGTATCCTCAAGGGTTTCTGGAAAAAACCCAAACCCACTTTATACATACCTTATATATTTACAATACTTTAGGAACAAAGCCATAGGAAAAAAAGCTCCTGGTAACAAGTTCCTCCTTGTCTTCAGTCAGCATGTTAATGAAGCATAGATCAACAAGGTAGGCCACCAAAATGGAAAACTTTAATATTGTTGTTTTTCTTCCTCGGCAGGTGAGAAGCCCCACCAGTGCAGCATCTGCTGGCGCTCATTTTCCCTGAGAGACTACCTGCTCAAGCACATGGTGACCCATACAGGGGTGCGTGCCTTCCAGTGCTCCATTTGCTGCAAGCGCTTCACTCAAAAGAGTTCCCTCAATGTCCACATGCGCACCCACCGCCCCGAACGCTTTCAATGCTGCATCTGCAACAAGTACTTCTCCCACCGCACCTTGCTGGAGCGCCACATGACCACCCATACTGCCTGGAAAGGTGGGCAACCTGAGGTCCCAGGGGCCATGGCACCAGCCACTTCTTCTGCTGACTGGAAGGAGAAGCCTAACGTTGCTGGTACTGTGCCGGCCATCGAAGGCACTGTTGCCGGCACCACTGCAGCATGGAAGACTGGGGAGCCATCGGCCGAGAGTGCCATTGTTGCTTGGAAAGCTGGAGATCCGGCCCCTGGGGATGGCAACCTCGTGGGTTGGAAGGGGGAGGCGACAGGAGAAGGGTCGGTTGCAGCCTGGAAAGGGGATCCAGCTTCAGAGGCGTCCATGCAGCCTCACACAGCATAGGACACTGGGAAGTAAGAGGTTGTGATCTATTTGACAAAGGTGCCATGACAGCCTGCACTCCAGCCTGGAATTGTTTCATTTAGAGGCTGTTCCACTGCAGCATTCTGTGGCTTGGAACACTCTCTTATCCAAGACTTCTACTCCTATGGGGCAGATATTTGAGTCTCCATATGGAGAGAAAAAACAGGATATAAATAAACATAATAATAAAATAATAATAATTCAGAGGCTGCTGTGTAAGCGAGGCAACCAGTAGGTTCAAATGTGAAGCATGGAAGTGTCATGCATCTGGGATGTACGAGGGGCATTCATTAAATATTTCCCCTGACCCACTTCTATTTATCACAGGATGCTGAAACTGCACATGGGTAATGGTATAAGTATCTGTTTTACAGGTGCTGAAGTGGTGTGAGGTTTGATAATGGACCCAGTGGAATACAGAGTAGTCATCAAGTTCCTTTACTTGAAAGGCTGTGCAACAAAGGAGACGTTTGATGACATGAAAGAGGTTTATGGTGATGATTCTCCATCATATGATGTAATCAAGAACTGGCATCGTCAATTTAAATGTGGTCAGATGTCAGTGGAAACAGACAACTCTGCATCTGTATGCTTGCCCACTATGCCCTGCTTCATGTACAGAGGAACAACTGTTGGAGGCTACAGACAATACATTTCTGTTGCCCATTTTTGGTCAAAAGATATTTAGCCACTTGTGCTCATTCTGTTTTTATCTGCTTTATCCTAATTTATGCAATGCTTTTGATACAAAATAAATAAGTGGAAACAGCTCCAATTCCAGGGCGACCCCACTCTGCTATTGATGAACACACCATCCAGCAAGTGGGGGGGTCGCCATTTTGGAAAATCGCTGTGTAACCATTCGCTACCTAGCCCAAAATGTCAGGATTACTGTGGGGTTTGTGGAAAAAATCATCCAAGACCATCTTCACATACATAAGATATCTGCTCGTTGGGTCCCCCGGCTGCTCACAGTTTTCCAGAAGCAGGAACGAGTCGAATGCTCTCAGGCTCTATTGATGATGTGCCATGGAAACCAGGAGGACTTTTTCAACAGACTGATCACACAGGATGAAAGCTGGGTCCATCACTATAATCCTGAGACTAAAGTCCAGTCATTGCAATGGAAGCATCATGACTCACCACCTCCAAAGAAAGCACGTGTCCAACTCTCTGCAGGCAAGGTCATGCTCACAGTATTTTGGGGCCAGCATGGAGTAGTATGGATGGATTTCCTAGCAAAGGGTACCATGATCACTGGGGCATACTATGCTTCACTGCTGCAGAAATTGCAGGAGGGCATCAAAACCAAGAGATGTGGTATGCTCACCAAAGGTGTCTGCCTTCTGCAAGACTGCACCAGTTCACAACTCATATGTTGCCCAAATGGAAGCATACGCCTGTGACTTTGAAATTCTACCATATCCCCCTTATTCACCCAACCTCTCACCATCGAGCTTCCACATCTTTCCAACAATAAAGTTACTATTGAGGGGCAAGCATTTTTCAGATGAGAAGACTCTGATTTCCAAAGTCACTACATGGCTTTTGGAGCAACCTGTTATCTTCTACAAGTGAGGTGCTCACAGTTGCTTAAAAAGATGGGAAAAGTGTGTGTCTTGGGTGGCACCTATGTTTGCAACAGCATCCCTAGCCTGCCTGAAATGTAGTGGTAGAACATGCTTTGCTTGGATAAAGTAACAGATTGCGCTGTTTACCTTTCCAGCTAAAGGATCCTCCATTAATGCTGTACTGAGAAGGAACTTTCTGAGTTTTGGACAATGCTGGGTACATGAACCAGTGGTCCAACATGAATAATAGCCACAGTACAACTTGTTGGGAGGAACCAGCAGGAGAAAGCTGTTACTTTGATGATCTTGTTCCCAGTGGCATTGGGCTGATCTCTTTAGGAAAGTTCGTGCAAACTATGATCTAACAGAGCTGCTCTTGGGTTCAGTTACAAGAAACTGGAAATGCACATTCTTTACTGCCATATAAAAATAATAATCGAGTGGGCAGCCTTGGGTATATTATTCTTATGACCTCTGGCGGCCTTCCCCAAGACTACCGGCCTCTGTCTGTGTTGTCTGCAACTCCTAATACATTTAGATGTTACCAGGGAAAACTGGCTTAATAGTATTACGCTTAGATTATGAGGCTTCTGAAAAAAGGGGGTGAGGTGGTGGACCTTAATGATATTGTCCGAGCCTTTTCCTACTGTTTAACCATTCTCTACAGGAAATAAAACTGTATGTGTTTGTATTCCTTAACTACAGAAATGTATAGCATTTGATGGAATTTTGGAGGATGATCATAACTCTTATGTATTTGTATTACATGTTTATTATTACAGATTCAACCTCTGGTTATAACAATATTTGGCAATCTGTTGCATGAAAGATGTCTCCTTGCTGGAGTACCTCTGATAGTCACAACAGCTTGAAAAAGTTACTTTTTCGGACTGCACCGTCAAATTGCCTATGTATTTATAGTGACTCCATACATTTCATTGGGTTTTCTTAAGGAATATGTGGAGGTGTCTTTCACAGTTATGTCATCTGACATATAGCTTACAGGACCTGATATTCTCTGGCAGTCTACGTAATATCTCACCCAAAAAGGACACCATCCATGTTGGCTGGGGCATTCTGGAAATTGCTGGACAAAACATAAGTTATTTTTCCAAATTTGCTTGTTTATTATAAAGTCGCTTCCGACTCTTCGTGACCTCATGGACCAGCCCACGCCAGAGCTCCCCATCAGCCGTCACCACCCCCAGCTTCTTCAAAGTCAAGCCAGTTACTTCAAGGATACCATCCATCCATCTTGTCCTTGGTCGGTCCCTCTTCCTTTTTCCTTCCATTTTCTCCAGCATCATTATCTTCTCCAAGCTTTCCTGTCTTCCCATTATGTGGCCAAAGTACTTTATCTTTGCCTCTAATATCCATCCCTCCAATGAGCAGCTAGAGCATTTTTCCAAATACTTCAGTATAAACAACACTGAGTTGGATACACAATCAGTGTGACATGATATGCCATTGTTTCCGTGAATCATGGTTTCATTCAATAATGAAAGGTTTGGTACAGATTCCCGATAGGTGACCAGATCTGAGGTAGAGTTGGGGAAACGCCATGGGTTTAGCACAGCTGGTAAGTCACCAGCAATTATAAGATCTATCAACTGAAAGGTTGCAAGTTCAAAGCCCTGGGTCAGTGTGAGCTGCCGACTGTCAGCCCAGCTTACTGTTTACCTAAGCAGTTCGAAAACAGCTTTAGCTGTAATTAGAGAAATTAGATACCCTTAAAAGTGAGGGAGGTGTTTTACGACACCATAAAGAAAGATCAGAAAATGCTGAGTGACCAAAAGGAAGGAGGAAGTCCTGATGGCTCTTTGTCATAGAAGATGGAATGACAGCACCCCCTATGGCTGGATTCGAGCCCAACCTTCCATGGCACCAAAAAACTGGACACTGAGTCAAAACAACACACCTCCTTCTGTTCTGCCTGTCTCTGTATTGTCTATATAAAACGGCATTGAATGTTTGCCATGTCATAGAATCATAGAGTTGGAAGAGACCTCATGGGCCATCCAGTCCAACCCCCTGCCAAGAAGCAGGAAAATTGCATTCAACATGGTCATCTAGCCTCTGTTTAAAAGCCTCCAGTATGTGTACTGTGATCCGCCCTGAGTCCCATTCAGTAGTAATAATAACAGCAAATAAAATGTTGCAGTTATTATTACTACTATTACTATTATTAATTGTTATTATGAAACACTATAATAATAATAATAACAATAATAATAATACTAATAATAATAATACTTTATTTATATTCTGCCTTATCTCCCTAAAGGGACTCAGGGCAGATTCCAATAACAAAAAGTCAAACATTCAATGACTGAACATAACAAGCAATCTATATAAATAAAATGTAATGTTGGTTTGTGGGATTAACATAACTCAAAAACCACTGGACGAATTGTCACCAAATTTGGACACAATACACCTATCAGGCCAATGAGTGACCATCACTCAATAGAATACTGAAAAACACAGCAGAAGAGACTTAAAAACCAAAAAATACATTACAACGCATGTGCAAAACCACATATATATACATATACACACATACATACACACACAAAACACATATACACAGACTGGGCCACAGCAATGTGTGGCAGGGGACAGCTAGTAATATATAATAATAATAATAATAATAATAATAATAATAATAATAATAATAATAAACAACAACAACAACGTTATTTTTATACCCTGCCACCATCTCCCCTAGGGGACTCAGGGTGGCTTACAAGGGACAAGCCCAATAGACACATAATAAGAAAAATTTAAACTCCACAGCATATAAAAACAAATTATAACTTAACAAATTGGAATAAAATTTAAACAACCTATTATTGCAGACATCAAACAAACAAACAAACATAAAAACAGAAGCATCAGTTTCCCAGAGTCAACAGAGTTCCTTGGGGCCATATTAATGGATCACTACTCAAGATGTCAACTGAGCTAATGGGGCAGATAGACCCAAGTACAAATTGCAGATGTTACTCAGAGGTATAATAGGAATGTCATTATCTATTCCTCCTTTTCCTTGTAGACCAATGAGCAGAAGTATGTCTTCAGCAGCTTCTTAAAGGCAAGGAGGGAAGGGGCCATCTTTCATTCCTTCAGGAGGGAGTTCCAGAGGTGACGGGCGACCATGGCGAAGGCCCTTTCTCTCATTCCCACCAACCGTGCTTGAGACGGGAGTTGAACTACACATGACAAACTGCACATGGTAGAATTTTATAATTTTGCGATTCTACACAAACAATTGTTGAGTCTTGTCTGGAGAAGTTACTTTCATTGTGCTGTCATACCCAAAATCCTCCAACCAACATTGAAATGTTGGTCCAACGAAAGTAACTTTTCCAGGTTCTGGATTGATCAGCTACTTAACTGTTCTTTTCTTCATTCCAAGCCATTGTTTATTCCAAGGTTGGGAATCATGCAACCGGGCTGCAACTTTCAGGAGACAGCAATGATAAGAAATATTGGGAGTTGGAGCCCAAGAACATCTGAGAGACGACATGATTCCAGTCCTTGGTTTTTAGGAACATGATTCCCACCCTTTTATAGGAACAGTACATCCCCGAGATAGAACTGGGTGTGCTTTTGACTGTGCTTCTGCCCGGTACATTTTATAACTGAGCAAGTGGGTTAAATATTTTTTGGTCTTGCCAATCTTTGACCACAGAAGATGTCATGGCTTGCAGAGTCAGTGTAAAGTCAAACAGGTTTGCAGCCCATTTCCTTGCAAGATAGGAACATTATTCTACCATTTGTCTCTGAAAAGCCAACATCGGTTGTCATACAACTCTTTATGATTTTTTTTGTATTAGTTGCTTTTTCCGTGCTTGTAAGGAGGCATAATTCCAGACCTATCCTAGAATGAAGTCAGTTTGAAATCATGTTACGTACTAAAATTGGTTCTTGGTATCCACTGGCATTTCATTCCAACTCCCTCATTCCCCATCCTCTGGATACCAAAATTGAATGCTCAGGTCCTATTCTATACGAGGGTTGAATGAAAAGTAATGTCTCCACCATTGTAACTCCTCAACATATGGCAGTACTGGTATGCGGCTGGTATTGGCTTGTTCAGTAGACTCTCCTCTACAGCTCCATTTTGGCGGGAAGCCTTAGCATTGAATGGTTGTGTTGTTAAAGTGCAAAGTATGGAACCCTGCACAGATGGTCAGTCAATGCAACTTAAGCAATGTGCAGTTATTGAATTCTTGACAGAAGAAGGTATCAACCCAAAAGAGATTCATCAGAGAATGCAAGCTATTTATGGTGATTGTGTTGATGTGAGTACTGTGCATCGTTGGGCGAGTAAGTTTAAAGATGTTGAGGTGGGAACATCTGACTTGCATGGCAAACAAAAAGTTGGATGTCCTGTGACAGCAACCACCGAGTTTCACAAGCAAAACGTTGACAGATTGATTCAGGATGATTGTTGTATCACTCAGAGAGAAATTTCAAGCGTAATCGGCATTTAACAAGAACGTGTGGGTCACATTATTGCTTTGCTTGGCTATCGGAAGATCTGTGCACGATGGGTACCCAGGATGCTGAAGAAACTTCAGAGACTGGATCGCACCACCCTACGACATCCTCCATACAGTCCAGATTTACCACCGTCTGACTTCCATCTATTCCCGATAATGAAAGAAGATCTGCGGGGACATCATTATGCTTCTGATGAAGACTTTGAGAGAACTGTGAGACACTGGTTGCGGAAATAGAGTGTCGACGTCTTCTGTGACAGCTTCAGAAAACTTGTTCATCGTTGGCAGAAATGTATCCAATTGTCTGGTGATTATGTGGAAAAGTGAATAGTGGTAGTTAAAGAGCATGTTCTAATGATTATTTCTGCATTTGATTTATTAAAATATTCCCATCCAAACCCAAGTAATGAAGGTGGAGGCATTACTTTTCATTCAATCCTCATACAATGGGATAGCAAAGTAGTGTCCCTTATGTTAAAAGCCAAAATCAAGGTTTGTTTTTGGGGAGGGGTATTTTGAATAATTTTGAATGCATGGATGGTTGAATTCGAGGGTATGGAAGCCTGAAAAGTATTCCACTTTAACTGTTATAGAAACATCCTAAAGAATCCTGGGATTTTGTAGTTTGGTAAACCAGTGGAGCTCTCCAGCTAAGAACTGTAAATGCTTCTCTCTAAACTGCAAAACCTAGAATTCCATAGGATGGGAAAATGGGCAGAATTCTCTATCAACTATGTAACTACTTCAGTTGCCTTAAATTAGGGGATACATAGGGCTCATGAATGCAAACCATTCAAGAACATGCAACTCTAAGTAAACGCAAAGGTTTCCCATAACATTAAGTCTAGTTGTGTCCGGCTCTGGGGGTTAGTGCTCATCTCCATTTCTAAGCCAAAGAGCGGCGTGGTCTGTAGACACCTCCAAGGTCAGGTGGCCAGCATGACTTCATGGAGCACCGTTACCTTCCTGCAGAAGCAGTACCTACTGATCTACTCACATTTGCATGTTTTCGAACAGTTAGGTTGGCAGAAGCTGGGGCTAACAGTGGGAGCTTACCCTGCTCCCCGGATTCGAAATACCAACCTTTCGGTCAGCAAGTTCAGCAAGTTTAGCCCACTGTGCGACTACTCTAGGCCACGCATTAATAACTGCCTCACCGAACTCCAGATCGTGGCAGTTAAAGTGAATCATAGTACTTTACATGTGGTGTGGAAGGGTCCCCAAATATATCTTGAGACATAGGGGTACATCAATCTGTCTCTGTATCAATTGATCCTGCAAGGATTAAGCAACCCATAGCTAGAAAACATATTTTTAAATCCCATTTTATATATGGGACACCACTGCATATAATGTGACTTAAGCATTGGCAGATTTTGGAATGTATAGATGACT